CTAACCAAACACTACAATATATTTTCTAATTAACCAAATAACAATTCTATACAATTGATAAATAAAATTTTAAACATGATTTGGAGAGGGAAGCCCCAGCTGCCACAAATTATGACATAGGCTCTACCTATTAGGTAGATCTTAGCCTAATGCCCCTCCAAAGTGCAATAGAGGTCACTAGCCTAAGCCATGAGCGTTGATGATCGCTCATTGACTCCGTCCAGGTAAATATGTTATTCGTTGTTCCTGAACTCCATTTTATTAGGCGTTGCTGAACTCTTGCTTCCGTTTTGTTTCGATGTGGGATATAGGGAACAAGAATAACTTCTTCTTTGCTTCTTTCTTCCCATTTCTAGTCCCTTTTTCTATAGTTCTTTTTCGTTTTCTTGCTTAGATTTACAATGGATCGGAAAAATGAATTAGCACATAGCTATACATATGAAAATCCTATAAATTTAGTTTAATCCTTCGATCCTTAAGTGCTTGTTGGTTACATCCCGACGTCAGGAAGAGCCACTTTTGGTGTTGTTCTTTTCTTGCCAACTGGAAGTTTTAGTGTTGCGATGAATGGAGTCTTACCGAATTGCTCATACCCTCTGATGGCGGAAACGTTAGCTTGTAAAGAAGTCATTTCTTGGCTAAAAGATCGTGGGGGTTTCCTCTATTATTTTACACATCGACTGTTCCGAGCTACACTGTAATCTAACAGCACCCACGGTTGCGCTCCGACGATACGTTGGCATTGCTACGGATGGCTGTAGGGAAATTATGTCTTCTCTAATCCTAGATCTTCTAATAAGATAGCTCACTCTTTAGCTTATAAGGCCTATCTTCAGGCTAACTCAATGTACTGAAACTTCGTTCCACCGGACTTTGTTTCGGCTCTTATGCATTAATCTACCTCTATTGGTTGCTTTCAAAAAAGTTCTTGTTCACATGTAATGATAGGCCATAATAGTTCAATTATTATTATTATTGTTGTTGTTGTTGTTGTTATTGTTGTTGGTGTTGTTGTTGTTGTTTTTTTTTTTTTTTTTTGAAAGTGTTGTTGTTGTTGTTATTGTTATTGTTATTGTTATTATTTTGTCTTAAAGGTTGAGTAATTTTTGGTAGTTTAATAGTCTAATCGTATTTTTTAAAAAAATAATTTAAGGACTTATTTTACCTACCTAAAATTTTATTTGATAGAAAATAATTTTATTCTGTATATTCTACCCAAGAGTTACTATATGAGATAAATTGCAAGCCAGTTAAAACAAAACTTTTAATTGATTTATTCTGTATATTCTGCCCATGTGGCCACTTTCTTCATTTTTATAATGGCTTAAATTGATTTAACTTAGTAAATTCTTAATTTTATAAAAAAGTATTTATTTTAAGAAATATTTTATCATAAAATGTGAATATATTATATTAAAATGCAACAGCTACCTCTATTTAAATTGGAAGTGAATTGAAGTAGGAACTGTGATTTTTGCATGTAGCTGATGTTACATCCTTCAGATGAGTGAAAACAGATTAACGTAGATTCAAACTCTGGGAAGTTACAAAGATAATAACAGAGATAAGAGTCCTATCTAACTACACCTAGTCAATAGCTATTAGTTATAGGACTAATTCAACTCTAGTGTTACATAATAAATAAATGTGAAATATAACATTACTAACACTCTCCCTCAAGCTGAAGGTGGTGTAGACACAACATTAAGCTTGTCGCGAAGAGTAGCAAAGCGTGCAGACGGCAGTGGTTTGGTGAAGACGTCGGCTAACTGATCCTTGGTGGAGATAAAGTTGACTCGGAAATCACCAGAAGTCACCTTGTCTCGTACGAAATGGTAGTCAATCTCAACATGTTTGGTCCGAGCATGAAATACCGGATTAGTGCACATATAAGTGGCGCCCAAATTATCACACCACAAAGTTGCTGGATTCCCCGAATGTAGCCCAAGCTCGTGTAGAAGAGATTCAACCCAAGTGACCTCTGCTGCGACGTCGGCTAGTCCCTTGTACTCGGCCTCTGTGGAAGACCTAGCGACAGTCCGTTGCTTACGAGAGACCCAAGAAATTAAGTTCGTACCAAGGAATACAGCGTAACCACTGGTGGACTTGCGATCTACCGGACACCCAGCCCAGTCGGAGTCCGAGTAAGCATGAATATCAGCGGACGGCGAAGCAGACAACTTAAGACCATAGGACTGCGTGCCTTTGACATACCGTAGAACCCGTTTCAGTAAACCCCAGTGCTCATCAGTCAGAGTGTGCATGAACTGACAGAGCCTATTAACAGCATACGACAGATCCGGACGCGTGATAGTCAGATACTGTAGAGCCCCGGCTAACCGACGGTACTGAGTAGGGTTTTCATACGGGCCAGTCGGTGGAGAAATAGCTTGTGTGACAGCAGCCGGAGTGGAACCCCATCTGTTACCGGTATAGTTTCAATGCCGAGAAAAAAGGTGGGAGTGCCCAAGTCGCGTATCTTGAAAGTGGTGGAGAGCTGATTAAGTAGAGAGAGTAATAGTTCGGTGTCGTTGCCAAGCATGATTATATCGTCTACATAGACGAGCAGATAGACCCGTGACGTGCCTCGCGTGTAGTAAAAAAGGGAGACGTCGGTTTTGGATGCTACAAAACCTGTAGTCAGAAGAAAGTCATGTAACCGCTTAAACCAGGCACGAGGAGCCTGTTTAAGCCCATAAAGGGACCGTTGTAAACGGCAAACATAATCCGGGTGCGTTGGGTCCTCATAACCCGGTGGTTGGCGCATGTAGACCGTTTCAGCTAGATGCCCATTCAGGAAGGTATTATGGACATCCAGCTGGCGCATAGTCCATCCTTGTGATATAGCAAGGGCAAGTAATATGCGAACCGTCGTGGGTTTTACAACTGGACTGTAGGTTTCAAAAAAGTCCTCACCAGCGACTTGATTGATTGAACCCCTTTGCGACCAAGCGAGCTTTGTAAAGCTCTATGGTACCGTCGGCCTTCCGTTTGGTGCGGTAGACCCACTTACAGCCCACTACATTCATCCCCGGCTTAGCCGGTGTGAGATACCACGTATTATTATGCAGAAGCGCATTAAATTCCTGATCCATAGCATCCCTCCACTGCGGGTGTGCCACGGCTTGAGTATAACAAGTTGGATCAGTAGAGGCAGTTAGAGCGTGAAAGGGCTCATTTGTGCCTCGTGTCATGTGCCGGAGTCGCATCACAAGGGGTTGTGGCGTAGCCCGAGCCCGGCTTTTGGTTTCGCGGCGTGGTGCCACTCTGTTCTCTAGCTCATGTTGTATTGCTAGCGGTGGCACTTGGGTTGTCAGCGGTAGCTCATTAATCGGTTCAACTTGTGATTGTGTGATTATGGGACTGGATGCCCAAGGCACGTCATTCTGAGTGCTTGAGTCCCCACTGTGCTCGCGAGAACCTGTAGCATAAGGAAACACACTCTCGTCAAACCTGACGTGACGACAGATAAAGGTCTTTCCAGTTACTGGGTCCATGCATCGGTACCCCCTATAGGACGTAGGATACCCTAGAAAGACACAAGGGGCAGATCGATACTCTATCTTATGGCGATTGTAGGGCCGCAGATAGGGGTAACATCTGCACCCAAACACTCGCAGAAAAGTGTATGGTGGAGTTTTGTTGTAAACAGACTCGTAGGGACTGACATAATTTTTGAGTGCAGACGACGGTAAGCAATTTATGAGATAGGAAGCTGTTTCAAACGCGGCATCCCAGTGTCTGATAGGGACTAAGCTGTGCGCGAGTAGAGCTAACCCGGTTTCGACAATGTGTCTATTCCGGCGCTCTACTCGGCCATTTTGCTCATGTGTATTGGCACAAGACTGCCTATGCACAATGCCAAGAGACTCAAAGATTGTGTGTAGACGACGATACTCACCGCCGAGATCAGACTGTATCGACTTGATAGAACGCGAGAATTGGCGTTCTACCATGACACGGAAAGACTCAAATATTTTATAAATGTCTGATTTTAACCGCAAAGGGTAAAACCAGCAAAAACGGGTGTGGTCATCTACAAATAGAACAAAGTATCTAAAACCCCCGGCAGAAACAACGGGTGCCGGCCCCCAAATATCAGTATACAGTAAGTCGAGTACATTATTGCTACTAGAAAAAACTCTATCTTGCGGGAATCGAGACGATTTCCCGAGTTGACACGACGAACACAAACGCGGTATACTTGACTTGGGTTGAGTGACCGGGCAGTTTTGTAAGACACGATTCTGGGCACGTTCATGCGGATGTCCAAGCCTGCGATGCCAAACGTCAGGTGGCGCACGAGCGGTTATTAACGCAACATGTGACCGAGACATGGGTAACTTGTACAAACCCCCTGTGGTTGGACCCCTAAGGAGCACCGCCTTGGTGTGACAGTCCTTCACAACGAAATGATCATGGTGAAATTCAAAATAAACAGAATTATCAAGTGTGATGCGATTAACTGATAATAATGGTAAGGAAAGACGGGGGACATGCAAAATATTATTTAATTTCAGAGTTCTAGACACAGAGTTTAATGATGCATGGCCAACACTGGTTATACCCAAACCTGATCCGTTGCCCACGCGGAACACGTCACCGCCGGAATAAGGATCTGCTTGCGCCATCATCGTTGGATCGGGCGTAGCATGTGACGACGCCCCGGTGTCCGGGTACCACGCGTCCGCCACGACCGCCGTCTCATCACCGGGAACTGCCGCATGGGCCTGCGGTTGCGGAGCGCCGGAGTCCCGTTTATAGCAGTGAAGCGCGGTGTGGCCATGTGAGCGGCAGATTTGGCATCTCGGACCACCACCGCCTCGGCCTCTGCCCTGTCCGCCACGGCCTCTGCCCCGTCCTCGCCATTGCTGCCCGGAGCCAGCATGCCTAGAACCGCCACCTGCGGTCTGGTTCTGCGCGTAACCACGTCCAGCCACCAAGGCCGTGTGGCCGGATGAATTGCCGGCAGTGGAGAACTCATCCGCCCAAATGAACTCTTAGGCTTGGAGATAGTCCGAGAGCTGGGGAATCGACACCGGTGTGCCGGATGCCGCGAGGGATGAAGCCATCGACCGGAATTCTGGCCGGAGACCTCGGAAAACCCAGAGGTTCTGCTCGTCAAGCGAGACCGGACGGCCGGCCAACGCTAGATCCTCCACTAACAGCTGCGCACGGCCGAGATACTCGGCGGGAGTGCTGTCACCTTGCCTGAGTGATTGGAATTGAGCCAACAAATTGAGGCATCTCGCCCTGGTCGAGGAACCCAGTGCCGCCGTGATCGAAGACCACACCTCATGCGACGTTGTACGGCCGACGACGAGGTAGAGTACCTCGTCCGCCATTGATGACACAAGCAGAGACAGTATGCTCTGGTCCTGCTGTATCCATAGGCCGTGAGCCGGGTTCGAGGTGGTGGTGGTTGTTGTGGCGCCGGAGGCAGCTTCACCGGACGCTGGAGACTCAAGCGTGGTAGGTGGACAAGGTGTATCGCCGGTGACATACCCCAGGAGACCTTGTCCACGGAGGAATGGTACAAGTTGGGTACGCCAGAAGAGAAAGTTTTTCGTGGTTAATTTCATTGAGATGAAGTGGTGAGCCGAATTGAGGGTGTTTGGGGTGGTGGAAGAAGGCGGAGTGCCGGCGGTCACCGTTCGCTCACTCGAGTTTGTCGATATAATTTTGGGAGAGAGAAAACAAAGGTTCACCTAGCTTGCTGATACCAGATGAGTGAAAACAGATTAACGTAGATTCAAACTCTAGGAAGTTACAAAGATAATAACAGAGATAAGAGTCCTATCTAACTACACCTAGTCAATAGCTATTAGTTATAGGACTAATTCAACTCTAATGTTACATAATGAATAAATGTGAAATATAACATTACTAACACTTCATACGTTTTTTTTGAAGGGTACGCATTTCATACATATTTGAAATAAAAATCATATAGTTTACGGTATTGGTTTTAAATATTGCGTTTATACTTTTGATAGGGTCTCATTTATTTATAAGAACAAGACTACAAACATCTAAAAACTGGCCCTGTCTGGAGAGTGATGGCATGACCTCCAAAAGCAGGGCAAATTATGTTGTGCACCATGCATGGTGCACACTGTTCTATGTTCATAATTACTGAACTATATGTTCATAATTATAAAGCTATATATTCATAATTTTTTAACTTCATATCAATAATTATTGAACTCTATATTCACAATTATAGAACTCTATGTTTATATTCCCAATTGTTGAACTCTGTATTCACAAATTATAGAACTATATGTTCATAATTTGATAACTATACAGTTTAGAAATTATGAATCTATAGTACAAAAATTATGAATTTGCAGTATAGAAATTATGAATCTACTGTATTTAAATTATGAATCAACGGTTTAGAAATTATAAATCTACAGTATAGAAATTATGAATTTGGAACTGTGTGCACCTTGCATGGTACACATGGTTGCACAACATAACGTTCCGCAAAAGCAAGCAAATTATATTGTGGACCCGGGTTATATTCACAATTTTTTAACTCTATATTCACAAATTTAGAACTGAATATTCACAATTTTAAATCTCAATATACAAAATTACAGAACACAATATTCACAATTGCAGAACTCTATGTTCACAAATTTTGAACTCTATATTCACAATTTTAGAACTGAATATTCACAATTTTAGATCTCAATATACACAATTGCACAACTCATTATTCACAATTGCAGAATTCTATATTCACAATTACAGAACTCATATTCATAATTACAGAACTTTATATTCACAATTAAAGAATTCTATATTCACAATTACAGAACTGAATATTCACTCATTGAGTTGTTTTTAATATATATATTTTTTTTTCCAAAAAATATCATTTGCTGCGAAAACGGTGTCATTGACGAACACTATTATTTTCACACGTACACGCAAATTGCGTCGTTTTGGACTTGAGTCCACCTTGCAAGGTAGACCCGGTCCATGGCATAACTATTACCAAAAGCAGCTAGCATTGTTGAATATAATATTTTAGGATGTTGGTGAAAGTATATCATATAGAAACCGGCCTTATCTATTGTCTAAGATCTGTCTGGTGTGTTGAATCCGTGTGGTTAATATGTCTCTATTACTTCTTCTGTAGTATAATAGTATATTCTTTTCTGCTATATTTATACACACATATACATAATAATGTGGTGGGGTGAGAGAGGGGGGCAACTGCATGCCCTCATCCCCCCTCCCCAATCCGATCCTGGAGCGCAGAGGGAAAACAAGCTAGACGACAAGTAGTTACGTTGGATTCTGTGTTTGAATTAAACTCAGCTCACTCACGGAGCTCCGGAGCTGAGAATGGTGATTGGCGAATGCCCATCCAATGTGGAATATTTAATTTCTACGTCTATTACTTCCACAATGCACCTGCTTCATCAATTCGATTCATAATAATAACTTTGTGGATTACGTCCACATTGCACCTGCTTCAATTCAATTCATTATAATAACTTTGTCGATTATTCGACGGTTGCATCAAACCCTCATGCATGAGGGAGCTTGAAATGTTAATTATATTGGTGAATGTCCATGTGAAATATAGATTATATATATACATGAAATCTATATTTCACATGGACATTCAACAATATAATCACCATTTCAAGCAGGATCTTGAAATGGTAATTATATTGGTGAATGTCCATATGAAATATAGATTTCATGTTTGACCTACTCCTGTTTGATTTGAGTATAAAAAAAAAATTGTAAATTTAAAAAAATATTTAGCGTCGATTTTTCATTTAACTGTCGTTATATCCCCGACTTTGTAAGTGATTTCTGTAGTAATGAATTAGCTTAGTTTATCGATCTTTAGCCAATTATAGTGAATATGAATTTTGTTTAAAGTGCACTCGTATAGGCCAAGTAATTTCAGTCGGTATAATCTTTAGCTAACTAGAGTCAAGGAGATGAGTGACTATAACCTCAGTCATAATTTCATATTCTTTATAGTGGTTGTACACAACTTGAAAGAGTTGCGTATAGATCTGGATGACCAATATGTGGAATTGTGGATGACCTATATGTATATACAAGGTTATCTAACAACTTTACTACACGATTTGGTCCTCGAGTTTAATACCTCTATAAATTTTATAATTTAATTTTTTAAATAATTTTTGTGTCAATCAAAGTCGATTTTTTTTTTTTTTACTTTAAAAATTAAATATAATTGTTACAAAAAATTATTGTTTAATACTAAATTACCAAAATATAAAAAAATTAATGAAACTGCTATAGATGATTACAGTGTTCTTTTGTTTTAATTTCTTTTTTTTTTTTATTTGATACGGGGCATTTGGTTGGAAGGAAGGAAGGAATTGTGAGGAAAGAAATTGTAATTTTATGGGAGAGGAATGACATAGGAATAATGTAAAAATTTAAATTTCAGTATTTGATTTGTAAGAATAGAATTACTGGGAATTTCAATTATAATATTTGTTATACATGGGAATTGAAAGGAAAAAAGTAGTATGAAGTCCAAAATGTTCATACTTATTAGAGAAAATAGGAATAAGGTTCAAATTGGCCACTGAACGTAACCTGAAAATGCAATTAGGCCACTGGACGAAAAAAAGTGCAATTAGGCCACTGAACACTCCAAATGTATGCAATTTCACCTGATAGCAGGTTACCTGCTTACGTAGCAGCTGAGTTGGCATTTTTAATAATTTTTAATAAAGTTTAATAATAAAGTTTTTTTAAAAAAATTATTTAAAACAAATTTAATTTTTTTTTTCAATTTTTTTAAAATTATTATTAAAGGTTATTAAAAATTATTTAAAAATTATTAAAAATGCCAACTCAGCTGCCACGTAAGCAGGTAATCTGCTAAAATTGATAGTAACCTGCTATCCGGTGAAATTGCATACATTTGGAGTGTTTAGTGGCCTAATTGCACGTTTTTGGGTGTTCAGTGGTCTAATTGCATCTTTTTTCCGTTCAGTGGCCTAATTGCATTTTCAGGTTACGTTCAGTGGCCAATTTGAACCTTATTCGGAGAAAATATCATTTTTAGTACCTCGACTACAATACATGTATCAATATTAGTCATTGACTGTTAAAAGTTTCAAATTAGATGCATGACTATTCAATTTGTATCACATTTGGTCCTTGACTATTAACATTTTCAAATTAAGTGCATGACTATTCAATTTGTATCACATTTGGTCTTGCTGTTAAATTTTTCAGCCAAATCACTGGTGATCGGCTAATTTATTTAATTTTTATTTTAAAATTTATTTTAATAATTTTTAAATTAAAAACCTTATTTTTTTTTTTTAAAACGACAGCCACCCCACTCCCTCCTCGACGAAGGAAGAGGGGGGTGGAGGAGGAGGGTGGAGTGGCAGGCGCTCTCTTTCTCCCCCTTCCTCCTTCGTCTCTGCCGAGCTGGAGACGAAGTAGGAAGGGAGGGGGGGGGGGGGGGGGAACGCCAGCCACCCCCCTACTCCTTCGTCTCCACCAGAGACGAAGGAGGAGGGTGGGCGGTGGCCGTCGTTTTTTTTATAAAAATTATTAAATTATTTTTAAAAATAAAATTAAATAAATGTTCCGGCGACTTGGCCAGATATTTGACCGGAAAATTTAACGGTAGGACTAAATATGATACCGATTGAATAGTCATGCACCTAATTTGAAAATGTTAATAGTCAAGGACCAAATGTGATACAAATTGAATAGTCATGCACCTAATTTGAAATTTTTAATAGTCAAGGACTAAAATTGATATATGTATTACAATCTGTTAGTAATATTTATGTTTACATTTATATTGTATGATTTATTGTTATTATTATTAGATGTAGACTAGTCAATTATTCTATCCTGAATAACAGGAGAGTATTGTGTTAACTCTCCTATAGGACTCTCTGCATTGTCTGTTCAACAATCTGATCAATTATTTTGAATTTGAACAGAACATCGTCTCATCTGGTATCAGTTGCGATAGGATTGCGATCCTCTTTCCGATCTAATTTCCGCTTTCGCTTTCTCTCTCTCTTTTACGATGGCTTCGAATTCAAACACTAACACTACCATCATCCCCGCCGCACCCACTGTGCCGGCGACGCCAAATCCTCTCTCAGCCACGCATCACTTCGTATCCATGAAGCTTACCACGCGCAATTACCTATTCTGGAGGACACAGCTCCTTCCCTTTCTCCGTGGCCAAGGCCTACTGGGTTTTATTGATGGCAGTCTCCCGTGCCCTCCGGAGACCATCTCCGTCGCGTTAGCTTCCGATGGTGCTGCGACAACAATCTCCACAACGACGCCTAATCCCGGGCACACCGCCTGGGTCCAGCAGGACCAATCTATTTTGTCCTTACTAATCTCGTCCTTCTCGGATGAGGTTATGCACCACGCTCTCGGCAGGCACACCGCCAAGGAAGTCTGGGATTCCGTCACCACAGCACTGGCGTCGACCACTCGCGCACGTTGCCTCAGTCTCCTCGGCAAATTCCAGAATTTGCGTTAAGGAAGCAGCTCACCGGAAGATTATTACAATAAAAATCATATT